GGCCAGTTATCTGGGTATCCTGTGTCCTATCCGGTTGACACGTAAAACTTTGCAGAGAATAACCTCAAGAACTCAGCAAAAGTGAGAGTGAGTAGGGGCTTGAATCTCAGTCTCGTTTGGAAGCCTGCAATCTCTATACACATCCCTGCTGTCCCAAGGAGGTGATACATGGCTAGCAGGCTGCAAGGACCACTACCAGCAATGTCAAGCTTGGTCAGAGCAGTTTTTTGTTTGTTTGTTTGGTTGGTTTTTTTGCTTACAGTTAATAAAGTACGTATTTGTCCTTCTCTCTAACTCTGAGCTGACTACTTTGCCCAGACAGTCAGGGACACAGAGGTAACAGTGCATACAGGAAAGATGGAAGAAAACTATGGAAGGTGGAGAAACTCCTTCACACATCCTAGAGGATGAGAAAGACCAAATAGACCAGGAGCCCTGGACTCCAAAGGGACAAAGCCCAGACTGGCGTAGAAGGACCACTGCTTCAAAGGGTCCTATCCTAACTAACAATGAGGATCCCAACACAGAGCCTAGCATCCCAATTGTGGCAGCAGCTGCTGTCATCATATCTCTTGGAACAGCTCTGGAAGCTGTGACTACCATTAAGTGGGGTCAGGGGAATGGGAGACAAGCAAGCTGTCAAGGCTGGCTATCACTTTGCAGCATGGGTGGTTGTCTGAGCAGCTCTGTAGACAGTGGTCAGCTCAGCCACTAAGAGGCTCTCCTGACTATGGAGTGGGTAGGGGATTGGTTGGAAAGATAGCTCAGACATTAGGAGAACTTGGTGCTCTTGCAGAGGTCCTGGGTCCCAGCACCCACATCAGACAGCTCACAACTGCCAATTCCAACTCTGGGGGGATCTGATACCTTCTTCTGACTTCTCTGGGCACCTGTTCTCATGTGGTACACACAGAGACAAGAAGGCAAATGCAAATACATTAAGAACCCATCATGCATATGCATTTGTGTTTGTATATGGGTATATGAACATGTGTGTAAGTGTCCTTGGAGACTACAGGTGCTAAATCCTCTGGAGCTGGAGTTACAGATGGCTGTGAGCCACCCAATGTGGTCACTGGGAACCAAACCTGGGTCCTCCGTAAGAGCAAGAACTACATACTCTTAACCTCTAACCTACCTCTTTAGGCCCAAGTACCTTTTTAGAGGAAGGAGGGAGGACAAACAAAGCCCTTGTCACGGGGTGATGGGCTGTGTCAAGAAAGCTGGAGCTAGCCAGGCATTGGTGGTGGCTCACGCCTTTAATCCCAGCACTCGGGAGGCACAGGATCTCTGTGAGTTCGAAACCAGCCTGGTCTACAAGAGCTAGTTCCAGGACAGCCTCAAAAGCCCAGAAAAAACCCTGTCTCGGGGAAAAAAAAAAAAAAAAAGCAAGCTGCAGCATCAAAAACACCACCCCTCTTCCCTGCTGCACCCTGAGCATGCTAGCTCAGAACAGCCTGGACAGAGGTGTGTAACTTTTACCTTTGCAGTGCCGGGACCAAGCCACATTAGGTGAGCACTCTACCTCATAGCTGCACCCTCAGCTGGGTCAAAGTTGTTTTACCTGTTGGTTTTTAAGCCAGCTACGTCACAGCTTTACTACTGATTGGATACATTACAGCCAAGACTGTCAGGGCAAGCTACTCAGCATGTTTTCCTGGTTAGGAAAGAAAACAAAAAGAAACCCAACAACCCAAGTTTAGCATATTGGATGTAGCATACCAGAATAGAGAAAACAAACAAACCAAAATGGATTTTCGGGTTTGGAGAGGAGAAAACAGGAAGGCTGGCTTCTGGGCGATTGTCTTTGTGTGTGGCCTTTCAAGTTGTATTCCTTTGCAGGTGTTAACTTGAGGCAGTATTCACCCAATGCTGCTCTAGGCACTAACATGGCCAAATTTTAAAACTTTTCTCTCGGGGATTAAGAACACCATTGGTTATTCCTCAAACCAGATGTCCAGACCATAGGAAAGTTGCAAATGTCAGCTGCTATAAATGGTGGCCCCCCCTCCCCGCTTTAGGGGGAACACAAGGTCTGGGACTTCAGTACACAACTAGATGAGTTTAAAAAAAATAAATAATTTAGGGTTCCTGTTGTCAGTACCCGAGGCTGTGCACCAGGTGGCACTCTGACCCAAGACTGAAGCCAAAAAAGGGGAACATGAAATCATATAGGATTTGCAGAGTTCTAAGGGAGTTTGCTTGAATTGGAAGGGTGAAAATGTGACCAGGTCCCTCAGTATTTCTCTGCCACAGTAGAATGTACCTCCAAACTCTCTGGTATTTTTCTCACAGGAAGGAGAATAATAATTCCGGATACGTAAGAGAGAGGTAATGCCTCTGACTGGCAGTACTGTTGACAGACGGAAAATCTTACTCATCTTTGTTCTCTACGGCAATCTTGATTTCAGCTAACATATTCATGTGTGCAATCCCTCTATGAACTTTGAGAGACTGTGGTGCTCATGATTGAACCCTGGGCCTTGTACTGGGAGGCAGGGATTAAATTGCTGAGCTGACTCCTGGCCCGGACTTGTTACGCCCATAATAAACCTGGGCTTTGCTCATTAAAGGACAAGGATCAGCAGAAATTCACCTTTGGGAATCTTCCTTCAAAATGGTATGGCTGTCACCCAAAATCAGGCAGCACTGCCCTTGCTTTGGACCCCTGGTGGTAAAGTGAGCAGAAAGTCTAAAGCATTGAAAGCAATTACTAACTTCCCATGAACCCCATACACGCTGAACACACTATCAGATTCGAAACTTAAGTCAAGCATCAAACTGCACTGACATCAACACATTCTAGAGCTTTAGACAGGACCGTGGCTTGGAGCAACTCAGACTTTGTGAGTTTGTAGAGCAGTTAGAGATGGTAGGGACAAATATATGGCTGCCATCTTATTCTTTTGTTAAGAAAAGTACTTAGCTGGGCAGTGGTGGCACACGCCTTTAATCCCAGCACGTGGGGGGTGGGGGTGAACAGGGGCAAAGGCAGGAGGATCTCTGAGTTCAGCTTAGTCTACAAAGAGAGTTCTAGGACATCCAGGGCTGTAAACACAGAGAAAGCCTGTTAGGGGCAGAGGGGAAAGAAAAAGAGAAAAAAAAAAAAATGACTTTAAGGAAACCACACTCCAACATTTCATTGAAAGGATACTTCAATACCATAGATATCCGAATTGTCTTAAAATAAAAAGTAAATTCATGCTGATAACTTTTTATTATTTTCCTTCCTGGATACCTAAACATTTGACCTTAGTCAAAATTTGGGGACCAATGGCTCATGTGTCATTCAGCACAATCGTGTCTACTTAAAAAACTGAGAAATGAAGTGGCTCTGTCTATCAGGGACAGGTCTACCATGGTAGCTTAGGCCTGTGACTCTAGCATGCAAGAGGCTGAGGCAGGTCTGTGTTCAAAGCCAGCCTGTGCTACACAGCAAGGCTCTGTCCCTAACAGATCTTGTCAACTAGCAGAGAACACTCTCAAAGAGAACCTACACCACTTAACGTTACTACCCGGAGACCTTAGGCAATGTTTATCTTAAAGCCAAATGTCACAATAAAGGATGCAAAAATAAAAAACCATCCACCTATTTGGGAGCAGCTCTCATTTATCAAATAGCCCTTATCATACAATGCCACAATTTAATGTTTATCTTGTCCATTACATCACCATGTGTGATATTCAATTATGGGGTGTACACTTTTGTCCGACACATGTCACTGATTCTATAAACATGGCCCCTCACATTGGAAACATTAAGAGAGCAAGACCTCTCTGCAGACAGTAAGTCCAGCTTGACAGTCTTCTAGTGGTTTTCCCTTCCTGAGAAAACAGCCACACATTTTATGTCCGTCTAAAATCTGGAGACAAATCCTGGGAGGGTCAGTTAGTCCAATTTCCTCAATTTAAAAGGCTGAGAAACAGGTTGGGGACATAGTTAGTGGGTAAAGTGCCTGCTGTGGTTTGCATGAAAATTGGAGTCCGGAACCCCCAAACCCCATTAAAAGCTAGATGCACTTGGAGTTCCATCACTGGAATCTAGTGCTGAGGGGGTGGGAGAAGACAGGACCACCCCTGGAGCTCCTTGGCCAGCCAATGTAGCCAAATTGATGAGACCCAACAGTGACCTGTGGCCTCCACATGTGACCACATACCCCATTCGAACACACACAACATTCATACACTTAGGCTGAGAAGCTAGGTGGTTTGCTGAGGTCAGGAAGTGGTATAGAGAAGACAGCACACGGCTTACCAGGGCTCAGCTTATCAATAAGGACAGGTGAAGCCTCAGGTGTTCAGACAGAGTAGAAACTGTGCATATTATCACTTGTCTTCAAGGCTTTGTAAGAAAAAAAAAAACTTGTATAATTTCAAGGAAGATGGGGTCCTTTTTATTTTCAAAAGTAGTTTCTTTACTGGCTTAAGCCACGCATTTGATTCTCCAGAGTGGGAAATAAATATTTCCTATGCTTCTGATTGAAACTCTCTGCAAGGCTCTGTGGCTTTGAGATCAATATACTTGAACACGGGTATCGAATCCCATCAAGGACTTCAGTCTGATGCCCTTCTGTTCTTGAGCGTGCGTTCTAAAAGACTACATTTTATTTTCTTTTTCCACATGTGGATGTGTGATGTACATGTATATTCAATTCACATGTCATGTGTGTGGTGTACATGTGTGCAGATGTGATCAAAGGGAGGCCTGAGGTTGACACCAGTATCTCCCGTGATAGCTCCCCACTGTATTTATTGATGCAGGGTCTTTGGTTGAACTCAGATCTATTGATTCTGGCTAGTCTAGCTGGCTAGCTAGTTCTGCTGATCCTTACCAAGAGCTGGGATCACAGGCAAGCTACCATGCCTGCCTGGCTTTTACATGGGAACTTTATCCACAGAGCCATCGTCCCAGCAGTCTTTGTGGCTACTTAACCAACATCACTGTGGTCTAGATCTCTGCCACTGGTGTCTAGAGTGGATCAATTAAATATCCACAGAGATGAACACAAGGAAGTTGTTGCCCCTTTATTGTTGACCTGGGCGACTTCAAGGAGGATAACATTCAATTAATTCTGACTGAAAGCATTAAAACACAAGCTGAATCCATGTCATCACCTGGGCCACAGGGACAGTCAAGGTCATGGTAGGTTTCTCCTATGCTGTAAGAAATCAATGCAATGTCATCACACTCTATTACTTTCCAAGTTGACTAAGTAATATGAGAAGGTGATTTTTTTCTTTAAACTTACAAGTACAATGTTCATGTACATGATTTTGAGAATAATTTAATACGTTAACCTCAAGATACCACTATATTCTAAGACCATTATTGTAAAGGAACGGATCCTTACAAGACCAAAATAACCCATATATCATGAGGTCGGTTTACCCTTTCTTTTTTATCTCCTCCTTCTTTCAACAAATGTGCACCACGATATTCCAATAGCAAGGCTAATGCCATGAATACGAAAGCTGCGATTTGCAAGGTACCAACCACATCTAGAACCCAGGGAGACCAATCAGACAGAGTGAGCCTCTCATTAATTAATTAATTCTAATTAAACAATCAGGTGATATCACAACACTCTGGGGTGCAGCACTGAAAATGTCCATTAAGTTTCTTTTCTCTTGATGATCAGAGGTCCCACGTTGTCTCCAGTCTCTTCGTTATGTTTTATGTGAGCTCCATCACAGAACGGAAACTAGGGAGAGAGAGAGACTGTAAAAGGTCTGATCCTTACACCAGTCTGTGCTTGCTCGCAGAGGGGTAGTGATGCCTGATTCCCACATATCATGGCTCCTCCTTTTCTTGGTTAGCAAATGGACAGGAGGATAAAATCCAGATTGCTACTTGAACTTCCCTCTGACATCTGGTGATGCATGCTGAAGGCTTTAGCTCTGACTACTTACTGGCTACCATTCTAGTAACCTATGCCTTTTCCCTCTTTATAAATAGACAAAATAAAAAAAAATGAGGTGTGTACTGAGGGTTGAATCCTGGGTTTTATGAACACTACCTACAATATGCTCATGGTTCTACTTGCAAGAGTTCAAGTTTATTCCATTAAAATCAATTTGTGGTTGGGTGTAGTGGTACACACATATAATGCCAACACTTGAGAGGCAGAGGCCAAAGGATCAAGAGTTCAAAGCCAGTCTAGGCTGCATGAAATCTTTAAAAAAAAAAAAAAAAAAAAAAAAAAAAAACCAGAAGAATCAATTTGCTTAGGGCCCCTGTATCAATTATCCTCGAAGCAATCTTTGCTCCAGGTTTTTCATTTGCTCATTCCTGAGCCCCTAGTGTTTTTCCCTTTTACTGCAGCTCATTCTGAATCTTTCATGGACATATTCTCTTCTGGATTCTTCTGGAAATATGACTATAAATTTCCAGTGTTCCTTCACTTTTACTAATTCCACATCACAGGCATAACTGGTACTTTTGTGTCTGGTGGGAGAGGGACAAGCTAGTCTGTGCCAGTATTTTCCAGAGAGGTTCCAAAGAGCCAACTTCTGCAGGACAGGGGCTTGCTGTTGCTGTGCTTACACAACAGATCAGGGAGCTCCCTGAGTCATGGCAGACTTTTTTTTTTAATTATTATTTTATGTGTATAGCTATTTTGTCTCCATGTATATCAGTGCACTGTGTATGTGCAGTGTCCATGAAGGCCAGAGAAGGGTGTCCAATTGATTCCTGTGTGCTGGGGAACAGGAAATGGCAGTCTTAACTGTGAGGAAGATGAGTATCCCTGGGGTGTGCAGCTGACTATGCCCAGTTTAGTAGGCATTTGGAACACTAGCTTGTGCCTATCCCTGATTCTTCCTCAGGTCCATATACCTACTTCACGGAACAGGTCAACCCTAGGACATTCCCTCCTGCCTCTGGCAGCCCTGTTGTCTCTCCCCACAGATGCTCACACTGGTAGCACCTGTCTTTTGGTAACATAGGCTTTCACTGACTTGGACACAGACTTTTAACTATCTGTTGAAACAGCAGTAAAAGGTCAGCTGCTAATTGCTTAATCCCAGAGTCTCCCATCATCACCCACTCACTCACCTGGCTGTGCTGACAGGCCAGCTCAGCACCAGAGCCCAGCAGGAAAACTCTCCTTCCCACTTGGACGCTCTATCTTTACTTCTCCCCCAGAGTCTGTCCTATCTCCTGACTCTGAGCTGCCCAAATGCAGAACATTCTTTGAGATTTCATCTCTGATTCTTATCGAGTCCACCTTGACTCACCAGTTCTGCTGGCTTCTGCTGCCACCGTGTCCCTACGTCACACCCACTGCTGCTGCTGCCCATTTTCACTCAATATCATCTCAAACCCACTCTTTCCAACTGAACTCTTTAGCACTGTCATGAAAACATTAGCTATTCAAACTGAATTTCTTGTTTTTGTTAAACACCCCCCACCCCCAAACCACATGCTAAGATCCTGTAATTTCCTCCCCAGTCTCCCTGACCAGGGAGTCCCTGCCAGGGCTGGAGAGACATCAGCAGTTAAATGCACGCTGCTGTTCCAGAGGCCCTGTGTGTGGTTCCCAGTACCCATGTCAGGTGGCTCACAACTGCCTATAACTTAGTTCCAGGAGACCCAACTCTGTGAGCACCTATACTCATGTACATACATATAATTTAAACTAATAAAAATAATCAGTCTTTTGAAAAGGTCGCTGCTCTCCACCGATCCTGTTCATTTCTCTCCATCTCCACAGCCTGCACCCTGCCATAAGTTACATTTAAAAGACCCATGAGAGGCAAAGTCTTCACACTGATTCTCCTCATGGACTCATCTCTGGCGGCCGAGTCTTCACCCACTCCCTTCCCTCGTGACTGCTTTCTTCACACGTTGAGAAAGCATTCCTAATACTTGTGTATGCTTATGTGTATGTTTTCCCAGAGGCAGTCTAACTCTCGAAAAATGTTAGCCATGGCAAAGCACTCCCACTCACCAATGCACCTGAACTACACACACAGGCCTCACTGCCCGATACCCATGTTTGCATGTCAGCAGGTATACACAGTGAGCAGTTTTAACTCGCTGATGGAAGAGTGTCTGTGACTGGGGAAAGCCTCCATTTTTACTTCCTCTGGTTTAGTCAGCAGCAAGAATGGAGCCCATGTAGGCACACCTTGTAAAACTAGTCTAGTCTACAGGCACCAAGAGATTATGTCCTAGTAGCTCCAGGAGTACCTACAGCTCACATTCTATACCCACATCAAGCCATCGTGGGACACAGTGACATCTCTTCAACTGTGTTTTACTGGCCCACATGACACCGAGCAACTAGAAGTGCCTACTGAAATATAATTCCTTGCGACGGTGATGTGGGATGAAGGGAGGGGAAGCAGAACAGGAGAGAGTACTAACTAGCATGCACATGACATGGAAGCTGAAAGGGGTACTCTTAGGGTTAGAAATGGGACCAGTAAGAGGTGCCAGGAGGAGGAGGGCAGGAAGGACGGTGGGAGGTGGCAGAGAAGAACAAAACATATGTTATATATTCATGAAAATGCCACAGTGAAGCCCATTTCTTAGCATGCTAACTAAATAACTACAATATGTATCCCCCACTCCCAACAGGACTGGAGAAAGGGTTCAGCAGTTAAGAGTATGTGTACTGTTCCCGAAGAAAACCTGAGCTTGAATCCTAGCTCCTAGCACCGGCCGGGCACCGTATAACTGCAAGTAACTCAAGCTCCAGAGGGATCTGATGCCTCTGGCCTCTGCAGGTACTTTTGCTCATGTGAATATACCAATGTGTGTGTGTGTGTGTGTGTGCGCGCGCGCGCACGCACACACACACACACACACACACACACAGGTATTATTAAAAGCTAAGAAATTAAAAAATAATAAAATAAAATACTCCCCCACTTTCCCAAACACATTTTCTACTAGGTATCATATAGCTCTCTCCATGTTTATGACACAGTTCATGATAGCATTCTCCACTGTGGTAAGTCTCCAACATACTGCAATTTCAGAAAATGGTACTTGAAATTATGTGGGTTTTTTCTTTTCTTTCTTCTTTTAGATCTAGGGACCAAACTCATGGCTTCTGGTAAGCTTTCTGCCTAGCCTGAACTCCCAACTCAGCATGCTATGGCCTTGGAAATTAAGCTAAGGAAACCCACTTTTCATAAATGTAAACAATAGCACATTCATTGTTAACACTGGGTCTCCCAGGACATCTGAAATTCATAAGTCACCCAGTGAATTATCCTGTCAAGATGTTTAAGAAGCGGATCCCACAGTCCATGTCCAGAGCCTGCAGGTGTCACTTCCACCTTGCAGAATATAATTCTTATCACATTGATTGGATTTTAAAGGATTCAAAGTGCCAGGTGTTTAGTTACAGGAACTGCAGCTAAAGGGATGCTTAGGGTATTTACCCGTAAGAAGTCTAAGCCAGGTAAGGGGGTTCACACCTATAAGCCAAAGCAGGAAGACTGGCAGCAGTGCAGGGCTAACCTGGCTACAAAGTGAGCCTCTGTAGGTGCATGGGCTACCCAGTAAGATCCTGTCTCAAACACACACTTTGCTCAGTCTATTTCTCATCATACTTGGGCTGTAGACATTCCTCCTGAGGTCCCTTTGGGGAAGAATTTTTTTCCTTCATCTTTGGTGAAGCAAGAAGATGATGGTTAACTCAGTTTAATTCAGTGAGGGTATGATTAATCTTCCTGCATGTCAACTAACTGTACATTTAAGAAAGTCTATTCCACAAGAGTGTGGAAAGCTGTGTTTGGAGGGGCAAGCCTACAGCCCCCAGCACTTGAGGCAGACACAGCACCATGGCAAGTCTGAGGCCGGTCTGAGCTACCTGGTAAGACCCTGTCTCAGACAAACAGAGAGCAGTATTCGAAACCGAGGGAGGAACAGACCCACAGAAGCAGGAAGGGAGGGGGTCTCCACCAGCCTTGCATGGCGTCACATGGGTGCAGCGCTCACCTTTTTGGACCTCCAGCAGCGGCAGTACACAGCCTTATCTCCCAGGTCCTCCATGTCGAAAGCGTGGACAACCTTGGGGTTGTCTTTCTGGATCTGAAGGTTCACCATAGATTTGGCTCGGTTTTCTTTAACGTAGAACTTTTTGTAAGCCAGGTAACCGAGAGCAGCTGTGCCAGCAGCAAATGTCACGGCTGCAATCCACTCAGCTGCAACGGGCAAGGGAGGTAGGGACTGTTAGAGGCAGCAATGCTCACCAAACCTGATAGCGTTAATCTACTTCTTAGTTATGTGCAGGTGGCATGTGCCCACAGCACACGCTGGAGTCAGAGGGCAACCTCTGGGAGTTGGTTTGGAGTCTCCCTCCATCACGTGTGTCCTGGGAATCTAACTCAGGTTTGCAGGCTTGGCAGCATCTGAGCCATCTTGCCGGTCTGACAACGATTTTCAGTGTTAATAAATGACCCTGACACAATGCTGTGGCAGTTCTTTTCCCACAGCTTTCCACAGCCCTCACTCAGGCAGACGTGTTTTTGCTACTGAGTGGACAGCTAAATTAATGTAAAAGAGGGAAAAGCAAAGATGATTTTCTCTTCTCTAAGACAGCGGAGGGAAAGCAGGGCTCGATAATATTCCAAGTGCACATCAACATTTTCAGCTTGTGCACTTGCAATACCTACTGCTTAAAGAAGAAAACGAAACCTGGAAAGTAAGATTCAGGTTATAAACAAAACAGAAAGATTGGGAAGTGATGGCTGCCATTGGCAAAATGACTTCACTTAAAGAGCAAAACCCCCTAGTGGCTTTGAGGTGCATTAATTTACCAAAACCCAATGCACCTCTACATTAACACAAACAATCAGATCTAGACAAGACAAAGACCTTTAAAGCCCACCCCCAACTGCAGAACATACCCAGCATCTGCCTGGCAGGGCTGGTTTTAGGTCTGAAGTTATTCAGAGGCTACCACAATTTGCAAATTGCTTTCTCACTATAATACAAAGCAGACTGTTAATAGTCTCATGTGAAACATTCAATAAATACTTCATTTCTATTTTCTTTCTGAATTTCCCAAAACTTAAGCGAAATGTTACTCTACTTTCTAGTAATAATAAAAAATTATTGGACTAACAGGCCATGAATTTATTCCTTCTGCATCCAAGGACTCCTTAGAAACCCAAGTACTTAGCAGCCACCCTGGCTCCAGGCAGTGACGGCAGAAGCCAAGTTCAGCATTATCGGGTTGGCCTTAGCCTCTGAAGAGAGTTGTCTAGTCCCAAGCATGGAGGGGCTGCAGGAAGAAGTCGAACAAGGTCAGGATAAACACACTGGGCTGCTTCCTAGCACTTCCTCAGTCAGGTCTTCAGTGTCTGAAATGAGTTCCCAGACTATCAAATAAAGCCCTAGGGAGATAAGTACAAAAACATTTTATTGCCAAACACAATCCCAAGGGCATAGTGGACCCCAGGATGTTTCCGCCGTGTCTCATAAGTGGGACAGATCTGATGGTGCCTACACGAACCAAAACCAGAGCTCAATCTTTTCATCTTTTTGTTTTGTTTTGAGACATGGTTTCTGTGTAGCCCTGGCTGTCCTGGAACTCACTCTGCAGACCAGACTGGCCTGGAACCTCCCAAATTCTGGGATTAAAAGCAAGCTGGAGCTCAATCCTAACAGCTTCAATCAGAAGATCCTTCATACCCTTGCTAACTAATCCCTTTCTTTCATCTTAGTCTCCTCATTTGTTCAAAGGCTTCCATCCAATGTTTCCAATGGGTACACTCTATAGATCAGGGACTCTACTTTCAACTACAGTAACATTTTTCTCTGAAGAAAAAACAATTTAGACTGATTTCCATCCCAGGTCATTTCCATTTCTTCTTGCTAGGGCACCTAAAATAAACATTAACTGGTATTTTGCTATTCCCAGGTGCCACATGACCAGTGGTCACCTGACAGTGTCAAACCTTTGGACCTCATCGGGAATTTTTCTCTTTTTACAGTACTGGGAACTGACCCAAGGCTTCGTCGAGTAGTCTAGGCAAACGTTCTGCCTCTGTGATGCATCCCCGGCCTTTCAGAATATTTTGTAACTATGCATTCTGTGTAAATGTCTCGTGAACTTCAGTATTCAAGCTGGGCCAAAATTTATTTTGCTCTGCCTGACTCCCAGCCTTCCCCTTCAACAAACAGTTCAGGAATACATCCAGTGTGAAGTCATTCACAGTTCAGACAGAAGAGTTTGAGGCCAGCCTTAGCTAGACATCGGACCTGTCTCAAAAGATGAAAACCTCAATTTCACAGTGTCTACTGACATGGAATAGGAACTCAAAAGGCAGCCATAACCCTTCCTCTAAATTAAGATAACACAACTCCTTGAATATTGTGATCTTAGTTCCTCTCTGGCAGGAACTTCAATTCATTTTGCAGGTAAATTATCCCACCTGATGCCCATTTGCCGTAATGGAGCCCAGGCTCTGCCTCCTGAGAAGCCTTTTGTCTTTAATGATTCCCCACAAACTTCAAAAGTCCTGAGATTTCATTCCAAGTGTTAAACGTTCTTCTATTCTCTTTTCTCACATTACCATATTAATATACAGGATAACATTCAAAAACAAATCCCAAATTAACTTTTACCTTCTCCAGATTTTTTTGACCAGGGAAGAAATGACAGGGGAAGGAACACAGAAATGCAGCCATACTACAGATATCCCAGCAGACACAAACCCTAGATAGTCAAGGATGTCTGTCCTGTGGGAATCAACACACAGGCGGTGACCACTTATGTGTGCTAGAGAAACAGCACTGGATTCACTCCAAGTGAGTGCTTTGGACTTGAAGAGCTACATAGGGCCTTGGGGGAGGGGTGGGGAGTTTTTCTATTCTTCCTTCTTCCCAAATTCTAATTTTCTAATCTCATTAGAGACAAATTGCTAGTTTCCAGATGGAAGAAAAAACTGTTGCTATTTTATCACTCCATTACTGCAGCCTCAATCAGTTCTGTGGGGTTTTTGTTGTTGTTGTTGTTGTTTTTTCTAGCAAAATAGTGGCAAACAACCAACCCTGGCAACTCCAGGGCAAAGAAAGAAAAGGGAAGGACAGAGACTGGAAAAAAAAAATCCAAATGCCAATCCGGAGGAGAAAGAATCAGAGAGTGAGCAAATAACACAACTCAAGAATGCTCAGTGCTCCATCCCGCCTCTGCAGTGCTCTGTCCTGCCTCTGCAGGTCGGCAACACTCAGTATGGCAGAAGTCTGTCTCTTAGAATTAGTAACACACACAGTATCAGCTTGAGCCCTGCATCTACCACCAGAATCTGAGTGCCCTTGGGGTCCTACCTCTCTGCACTCAGAGCATGGCAGGGTTAGTTTTAAGTTCACTCACAACTTCAGAGATAATACAGGACTCTTGCGAGGATCAACCGTTCTCTATTAGCACCTTCCAGACCGTGAGTACCTTCCAGCCTTCTCCGGGGCTGCCTTCCTTCCTGAGTTATATACAGTTCTTAAGTGTGGGTTGTTTCTGTAGATCCATCAAACCTGTTTTCTCCTATATAAGCACCAACCATTAAGGGAAGATTAGAGCCAAACAGGGCAACATGCTCTCAGCTTCCTCACACTGCCTGGGGCCTACTTTACAGCCTCTGGTTTCTCTTGGACTTGCTCCTAAACCCACAGCCCTCTCGCTATGACCGATCCCCCAGATCTGCTTTACTGGGAGGGTTCATTTGCTTTGACTTAGATATCTCACCCTTCTTTTCCTTTACACTAGTTGTCCAAAGGACCTTCACCTACCCACTACCACCAACTGCCACAGAACCGGAATGTGCTTGGGTCAGGGAAGGGGGAGGGGCGCTGGGCTGAAACCAAGCCTTCCCTGCCTGCTGTTTTCTTTTTTCTTTTCTTTTTTTTCTTTTTTTTTTTTTTTTTGGTTTTTCGAGACAGGGTTTCTTTGTGTAAGCTTTGGAGGCAGTCCTGGAACTCTCTCTGTTGACCAGGCTGGTCTCGAACTCACAGAGATCTTGTAGACCAGGATGGTCTTGAACTCACATAGATCCCCCTGCCTCTGCCTCCCGAGTGCTGGGATTAAAGGCTTGCACCACCAACGCCAGGCTCTGCCTGCTGTTTTCTTCATCAAGGTTTGGTACACCTGACTTCCAAGTCAGGGAGCAATATACAGTGATGGATGACCAATTCACCTTGATTTTCATCTGTCGCTTCCATGGGCTCAGTGCTCCTACATTAAATGGCTTTTTCTAGACCTGCATCTAGACCTTTCGTTTACTTTCTCAGACTCAGAAAACAAAAAGCATCAATCAGCCTGAGGCACCTCAGGCACCCACAGGGCTGCACTGGGTTACTCTTCCCCATTCCAGAAAATATCCTCTAAAGACAACAGCTCCTATTTCAGCTCCAAATCCCACTGCTCATTATCTGCTTACTATTTTATCCGAGTGACCTGTGCATTCTTTTGCAGAAAAAAAAAATCCATTAGATAACTTTCCAAGACTCAAAAAACTTACTGAATTAATGTATTGTGATAGGATGAAGTGGAAAAATATAAAGGAGTCCGAAGAAAGCCAGGATATAAATAAAGAGTATAATCAGACAGGCCAACACTGGTTATGTGCTTGGGATGACCCAAGTCTGGAGTGGACAACAAAGCCCAGGAAAACACATAAATCCCTCTTTATAACCCGCGGACAGGCCCAAGTAAGAATACGTACAAGAGAAGGCAAGGCAGCCACTAAAGCACAAGGCGTAGGGCTGGCAAGAAGGCTCTGAGAACACAGGTGCCTGCTGCCAAGTATGTCTACCTGAGTTTCATCCCTGACTCACACTGTGGGAGGAGAGTAACACCCCCAAGTTGTCCTCTGACCTCCACCCAAGTGCTGTAACATGAGACACGTCCCCTAGAACTCATACAAAATAAGTAATTTATTAAACAGGAATTTTGATTTAAGAGGCTGGCGGGATAGCTCTGTGAGTAAAGGCACTTGCTGGGAAAGGCTGATGATCCGAACTCAATTCATGTAACCCACGGGACTGAAGAACAGACACTACAAAGCTGTCCTCTGACCTCTTCTCCACTCAACAGCATGTATGCCTTACACACACACACACACACACACACACACACACACACACGGAAATATTCAGTTTAGCTGGCCTCTTGGTTTTAGAGGTTAAGGTGAATTATGATTGACTTTTGGCTGGATAGAGTAAAACCTTTATGTGGAGCTTATTTTAAAGTATCCAGGTGTAGCTGCTTATATCTTTAACCCAGCCCTGGGAGGCAGAGTCCGGCAGATCTCTGTGAATTTGAGGCCAGCCTATTCTACATAGGAGTTTCAGGCCAGCCAGGGTTATATAGGGAGACCCTGTCTCAAATAAACAAAGGAAAACAAGCATTGGTAAGATAGCACAAGATAATACTATCTAGAGTCAGGAGAGAGTGACTTCAGTCAGCCTTGTGGAAATGGAAGGGTGAAAGATGATGGCAGCTGGCTCTGTGAGGTGTGGAGGCACTGAGATCTGAGCAAGTTCAGAAAGGCCATCTATTGGGCAAGAGGAAGAACCACGAGATTGCATATATGGGCATCAAAGGCCACTTTCCAGAAACCATAATGAGTGAACAGGTACATGTGCAAACTATCTCATCCTGAGTTCCACCACTTTTCTGGATTGCCTCTCTCTAACACCAGTCCTGGTTTGACACACACTTAGTTTTATTAACCACCTTCCCTCTGCACCCCAGGCTTTCCCTCCCCAATATAAACAATTCTGCAAGCATAGACCTCACCCCCCACACTTTTAATTTTTTTTCTTGAGATACTCATGTTACATAGCCCAAGCTGGCCTCCCACTCTTGATTCTCCAGCCTTAGCCTCCAGAGGGCTGGGATAGCAGGTATTTGCAACCACACCTGGCTGTAAATCAATATATTATTTTTCCACTAAATACCAGTAGGAATATTAACTCTGGGGGTCCAGGGTATGGCACACTGCTTGCTTTGTTCATACAAAGCCCTGTGTAAAATTCCCAGCACCAACTAAACTGGGTGTAATATTCAAGAATTCAAAATGATAAACCACAACAATTTTACAAGGCACAAGAAGTAAACATTAAAAAGTATATTGTAGTGGCTGTATAAATGCCTCCGCAGTTAAGAGCAAAGGCTGGTTTCCCAGAGTATCAGGAACCATCCCCAGCACCAGGTTCAGGGTAACTTGACTGATACCGTCTTCTGGCCTCCTTGGGCACCTCATGTACAAACACCAACATACAAACAGCCAAAACACTCCTATTTATAAAATAAATAAATCTTAAAAGGGAGCGGGATTTATTTCCAAGGTATTCTATATTCCAACTTTGAGAAGGAAGGGCTGATAGAAGAGACTTGCAAAGCCTTTGGGACTCTCCCTACTCTACGGTCTTCATAATGATCTGTCATTCCTATTTTTAAGAAGTTACCCCATATAATATAACTTGAAGTAACTGGGGGTTTCACCCAGAGATTTCATATTCCTTAGGTAATGGAGAGTCATCTTTGGGTTTCCTTGTGCCCCAAAATTAAGCAAAACCAAAACCTTATCTTTTGACTGTAGGAAAGACGAGCCTGCAAATGATGGCAAGTTCCTGGGGGTTCAACTTCCTTTTCAACAGCTTCCTATCTAAATCAGGTTCTAGTACCTACTTATACAATCTGATCCCCAATTTCAAACAAAAACATATTTTGCAATCTTTTGGCTCACCTCATGCATGAGCAACAGTGTTCCTACAAAATTAAAACAACCGAACCACAAACCACATGAGAATTTTATTTTATGCAATAGTCTCATTGCCAAGAACATTGTTCCTTCAGGTGTGGTGGCACAGGTCTCAGCACTGGAGAGGTTGATACAGGAAGTTCAGGGCTAGCCTGGGCTACAGTGAAAGATTATGTCTCAAAACAAAAAAAAAAAAAAACAAACCTCCAAGAACAAACAAACAAACAAAAAGGGAAACCCCAGATTTTAAAAACAATAAAGAAAATTAAACTCACCAAAGTATTTAAAGTACTTAAAGGAGTCCCAAGATGGCTATCTGTAGGGAGCCGGTTCCTGCATTCTCCATTACAATAATGGTGCCTAAAGACACCAAGATGTAAATTACTTCACAGGCGCTGGGTAATCTCCATTCCTTTGATCTCTGCCTATCCTGTGGCTCATTTTGGCCTGAGGAGCTGAAGCCATTCATAGGGTAACACATCCCAGGCGGCTGCTTGCCAGCCTTTTTAAGGGATGGGTTTCTTGGTTCAGTGTCTCCGCTCTGGTAAGCTTATGCTCTCCCCAACTCTCAAGATGCATTAAAGCTTGTCTGCAGAAGGATCCGAGTGTCCTGCGTGTATTTCTTGCCGGCGAGAAAATACAGCACGCGAGGGACAGCTATCCTTTGGAGTAAATTTTGCAAATTGTCTTTATCTTTAGTAACTTAAAAATGTTTGGGCATTAGCATGATGGCTCAGTGGGGAGAAAGGTGCCCACTGCCAAGCCCGATAACCTGAATTTGATCACCGGGACTCAAAGGGTGGAAGAGAATCAAGTCCTACATGTTGTGGTCTCACTTCCATGCCATGGCACCAGACAAATGTTGTTAAAACAACAACCACAACAACAACAAAGTTTTTCTCCCTCTCACCTGCCAAATCAGTTTCATCGACAGAAGGTAGAACCCTCCAGTATATAGAACCCTAACTACTACAAACTTAAGGTCCAAATTAGGAATGGTGACAGACTCAATATTTGCTGAATGAGGACTCAATGAGGCTCATGGTAATTAACTTTTTACCTTTACTCTACTAAGGTTAGAGGTAACCACACCCTGGGGTGTGGTATTTTACACCTGGGCAGAGGCTATCATGCTTACTGCATAGCCTGTGGTCAATTTTAACAGCTTATCACCACCTTGCACTAACCAGGTTTCACCAATTCTCAATATTTCAACCAGATTTCTTCAAAGCACTGTTCTCAAAGCTACGGAAGGCTATTTCCAGCTGTTTCTTGGACCACCGCCACGCACCAGTGGCTGGGTGCAAGGTGCGTAAGAAACTGGGAAACTCAAGACCTCGCTCGGATTGGATTTCTTCACCTCGAATCACAAAGCCAGAAAAAAAAAAAAAATCTACGACATGACCATTCCCGGACGCCAGGGTTGCAAGAAGCTGCCCATTTCCCCACGCTGCCTCTCTGTGCCCTGGGAGGGACTAAGTTAGGTCAGGGGCGTTTTGGGGTGGACTGTGACGCGCTTAGCCTGGTTTGCTCACAGCGTGGCTGGCTGGGAAAGTGGTCCAGGGCCGGGACACCAGCATCCCGCCAACCCCGACCTCCCCGCAGGCCTGCGCCTGCCCTTGTGCAGGTCAAGGTGACGGTCCGGATAAGAGTGGCGGGGGGGGGGCGGGCGGGGGGCGCGCCGCCCGCGCCGGGGGGGAGGGG